TCATAACATCCTGTTGATTATGTTATTGGAATCTTAAAATTCAAAATTTTAAATAGATAAAAATAACACCGTACCTGCTTTCCAAAATCAAAGTTTTAAAACTTAAGATTCTATTTTAAATCGGTTTAAAAATTTTTGGCATCCTCAGCTGCAAAGGAAAGAATAAATTAAACATTTTGATATTCCCAATACATTTTGTCAGTATTTGCATTAAAAGTTCGTATAAATCTTATGAACAGACATACCAGGACAGCAGAAACATTTTTTAACCTTTTTCACAATGCTAAGCACTAATAATTTTTACAGGTTGCATTCTAAACATAAATAGTGTAGCAAATATAAGGAAAAGTATCACAACACTTAACACTCTGAAAACGTAGACACTACTGTGCCAAGTGCGTCCGGGCACGCATATTTTTTTTTTCTCTTCGCATTTTTTAATATAAGATAAGATGGAAATAAATACTCTAATTCCAAATACATCCGTTCAACTTTCGTAGACAATCAAGATTGCTCGCTTCTTCATTTTGATGGCCTCCATCTAATTTATCTACTTTTGTATTTTCCTAGGGAAGAAATGTACAGAATTTTTTTTTCCCAAAATGTGCCTCACAATAAAAAGATGGAATAAATACCTGCTGAAGTGCGATAATTTCTGCGATCATTAAGATATTGATTTTAAAAAATATAGGAATTTTTTTCACCGTATGCTTTTACGTACCTTCTTCTACGCACATATATTTTCCAAAAGTTTATAAAAGTATATCTTTCGTTCCCAAGCCATTTACCTAAATCGCTTCCTTTAGAATACTTTTTCACGTCTACAAAGACAGATTCCTTTGAGAACAACGTGCAGAAAATCCCCAAACACACCTTCTCTTCCGTAACCGAGAAGAAAGAAACGAAAACAAGAGGAGAAGGAGCAGTTAACGGTAACCGCTCCCTGGGAGATAAATCGTTCGGACCGGGGACGAAAGTTGGTCGACTTGTCGGCGCCCTCCAAGATGTGTTTCCTGCCTAATGACAGCTTTTAGAACGATTTTCTAGTCGGGGCACTAGGAATTGATCGACTTGCATCTTACTTCTCGCCTCCACCTCTTCTCCTATCATTTGGAAGAGGTTTGAGGTTGCGGAGGGAAACGTCCCTTGAGCAACTGCGACAGACGATGTTAACCTAAATTCTGGGGCAGCATTTCACACTTTGCTCAGCTGATCTTAATCTCTTCATTAATTATGACATTAACATTTAAGCTGCTTAACTCGCTTTTGCCATACATGAAATGGAAAAATTAAAATACTTTTCTTGTTCATCTCATATTTTCTGAATATTTTGAAGATGTTAGTTTGATTGGTTTATTTAACTCCAATAAAGCACGTGAAGGCTACCTGCCTAAGAAAAGAAATACCTCCGTGGAGGAGTTTGGAAGGGAAACTGATTCGTACCCACGTTACACATAGGGAAAACCAAGAAAACGCGCATGTAGACAGCTCGTTTGTTTGGTATATAACACAGGTCGATCTACCAGTGTATCTGATAGCTCTCAAAATCGTGAGAGTTGTTGAAAACTCTACATCAAACAAAAGTTTCTTTTTTTTTCTGCGTAATTTAAAATGATTGACTAAAATCAAAACCAAGCTGCTTGGCGGCTTACTTCCTTACTTGAAAGCATTTTTGTCACTTAACAATTTCTTTACGTTAATTTTGAACTTAACTTTACTTCAATTGTAATTTTTTTCTATAAGATTTCGATGATATTAACTGAGTTGCTGGTTACAAGAAGCGAAGTATATATCTTTTAATTGTTCGTATACAAATGATGAGAACTGCGACAATTCGATAACAGTATCCGAATGATAATATTAACCACAATCACATTAAGCAGTATCTATTGTATAACACCTTAAAGAAGAATTTGCGATTAAAATATATAAAAAATTAAGGTATTAAAATTTTTAAATATTTCACTTCTAATAAAAATAACTAGTTGCCAGCTCGTAAAATAAAATCATTGATGCCGAATAATACTAAAATTCAACTCTAAAAGAAATTCCATTTTCAACGTTTATTTCTGCATTTCAGTTTTGAACATAATCAAATATAAGAAGAAAAATATCGAACTATTTAAGAAATACATTGCTTTCAGACTATTTAAAAAAGCTGGAGGGAACAAACATGTAAAGAGTCTTGCAGTATGTATGTTACTACAAAACTTTATCATAAACTTTAACTTTTATTTTTAATGCAGGAGATAGTGTGCTCATATAAAAAGAGTTTTGTAATCGATTTATTATAATGTTAAAAATCCATTTTTACATGACGTTTGTTATATAAAAAATCAGTTTGCTGCAAAAACGTTCAGTTATTAAAAGTTCAGTTAATGTAATTTTTTAAATAACTGATTTAACACTGGATTCAGCAACGCGCATTTGTCGAAGATAATCCTTATTATCTATTGGCAAAACAGAAATTTATGTTCGGTACGATTTTATCAGAATTGAAAAACTCTTTGAAAATCTCTTTGAAGCATATAAGAAAGTTTGCATTCATTTAATATATATTGAGATTTACAGAGATTTAGATGTTGTGATTAGCGATTCAGTGATATCTTAATTTAGAAACAGGAATATTTTGAAGTAGAAACTATTACAATAATAATAACAACGAGATAAATGGAAGTTCAGTTAGAAATGTATAGTTAGAAACAAGGAAACCCTAAACGAAACTGTATATTGCTCCGATGCATTTTTATAAATGCTATAGAACTTTAAATGTCATCGAAATATTACTCAAAATATGCGATTGTTCCTTAGCTACTGAATAACATGTATGACACAGGATGACTTGCGATGCGTAACAACACTAATAAAGCAATAGACTGCATGAAATAGCCTTTTTTTATTCTCAAGCCAAAAAAATGCATTACGAATAATAGCAAAAAAGCAAACCATCTATTCCCGTCGCCCAAGCATAAGCAGTCACGTGATAAACTAAAAATAAACTACACTCAAATAATAGCAGCGCTATATGCATCAACCTAAATTGAATAATAACACAAGACAAAAAAATTATTCTAATTTTGGAATTAAATATTTTAATAATTTTAAAAATAGGAAAGGGTAGTATATTTATAGAGTGGTACTGAAAATATGTAAATACAGCCAAAACTGTATATCACGTTATTCCTACTACACTGCTTCGTTCTAACACATTTAGAAATTATGTTACTTAGATTAGAATGTTAACTAAAGCGATGTTTCATGATTCTGGACCGACCTCGCGAAGTTGTTCTAGTGACCTACGGGAAAATGCCATCGCGGAATGAAAGTAAAAGGTCTGGCTCAAAAAAGTGAGAAAATTAAACGGCAGCATAATTTCTCTTTCCGTTTGGTTAATCAATTAATTGGTTGATTGATTCCATCGATTAAAACTTTAATATCCATTTGTTAACTTTTCAATTCCCTCATTCATTAATTGAGCTAAGATTGAAACATGTTCAAAATCCTATATCTGGACGCCTATGCCGAAATTCTGTCTCGAATATGCCAAGTGTTGCAATCATCAAATATATTTGGTTCTTTGTACTGTTCGAACAAATATAGTAATGACTGAAAATTTCTGTTTAATACAACCAGCGAGCTTGAAAGTTAGAAATTTAAAAAAAAAACGGAGTAGTATCTCTTTCGGTTTGGTTAACGAATTGCAGAATAAAATTTTAATTGGTTAATCTAATCCAAAGTGAAATGTTAACAGCCATCATTAACTTTAAATACCTTCCTCCTTTTATTAAAGTCAAAACTTGCTTAAAATCCTAGAGTTAAACACATTGGCTAAACTTTTGTTGCTATAATTCCGATCGTAGCAATCAGCAGATGTAATTGGTCTTTTATATTGTTGATACAAATATATGCTGATTTTTCCTTAGACTCATGAAAATGATACAAAGATTATAAAACTTCTGAAATTTATGTCAAAGGAATGTAGAGTGGTGGAAAAAACATGGTTAAGCATTAATGTCATGAAGATAATAAACGACTGCTGGCGCCATCTTACGAGCACGTGCCGACATTGCGTAGCATGTACATTGTATAGCATAGGCCTCCATGAGCAAATTTCCTAAATACAGACTGATATTACAGATATGGGAGTGTATTCTAAAATATACTAATAAGTTTCAATGGGTTTCAGTTCGTCCATGAAATGTTTCATGAAAAGGGAAGTTAATTTCCTGAAGTTTTCCAGGGTTCTAAAGCTTATTCTGTTTCTAAGTTAAGTTAATCAGATACTAATGTCTTCCTATGCCACAATAATTTTAATTATTTTGCCAATCAAACTGAAACAAAATTTTCTCGCCGCTTTCGGCAGCAAAATACTCTCGAAACAGCAGAATTTGACGGTCGATTCTCAGTCTGTTGCAAACCTTTTGGTCCACTACTCAAAGTCCCTCCCACGGTTGCGATAAAAATGTGCAGTTTGCCACCCCTTTCCCCATTCAAGGAAATTTTGCATTCAGTTATACTTGATGCTGGCAGTGACAGCATTTGTTCAACATACTTGTCTTTAACCTTGTATGTATATGTAGTCAAATGCACATGAGCAAAATTTAATACTTCCTTGGGTCTACTTTCTATAGCTATCTTCTATCGAAAGAATTACTCTACATAACAACAGCAACTTCCTAAAAAGAAAACTGCTGTTAATAGAGATCACCGAGCTTAGAAAGAACATTGGTGACGGAACTATGTTTTATTACAGCATCTTCCCCTGGACTATGTTTAAAACGCAACAGACAATTTTTCATCATTGTTTTTAAATACATTGTGTTCAAAATGTAACTTCAAATTGCTAAAAATGCTTAAAAATTTTAATTTTTTTTTTTTTTTTTTCATTTTTTCCTTTTATTGTTCACATCTTATCAAGATTCCATGAGTGTCAGACTGTATAGTTACACTGAAGGTTAGTATTTTTGTAAAATTATTCAAAATCGTTCTTCCTTTTCCAGATCCGTATGTGAAAGTTTCTCTCATGTGCCAAGGCAAGAGAGTGAAGAAGAAAAAGACGTCTGTCAAGAAGAGTACTCTCAACCCCGTTTATAACGAAGCTCTGGTGTTCGATGTGCCAGCTGAGAATATCGAAGACGTCACACTCGTTGTCAAAGTGATCGATTACGACAGGTGAGAAAGATAGAATTTTCTTCTATCTCCATTCTTTTTTAATCGCAAAACCTTTAAAGTATAGTTTGAATGATAGATTACTTCATAGAGGTGTGTATTTGCTTTAGTATCATGGGATTTGTAGAAAATAGAAATCGTATCTGCTGTCATCAGAATTTCAAAAATAATTTTTTTCTCATATAAGGTAAAATAAAAAAACGGAGTATTTGCCATAGATCCGTACAGGGAATATTTGATTATGGCACAGCACATTAAGCTTGCCAGCTTTGTCCTGTATGCAGATATATACCGCATATTGTTACACATGAGAAAAACTTCATTGAGCCAGTCCGTTTTCATCATCATGAATGAAACAAATAGTCAGCAATCAGTATTTCGGAGTTTTAACCACTCGGCTATAGGTCAGCGCTTGTTTATTTTAGAGGAACAGATAATAATAATATGATTTACTCATTTCACCGTTTCCACAGAGATAGACTCCTTGATTTGAAAAGTATCGTCAGGCGGCAGCAATGAGACACACTCTTTGGGATTAAATGTGGCTTAGATCGTTACCGCCGAGAGAGACTCGTCGCTTCGTGTTTCCCAAACCCTAGAATCAGGCTAAAAGGAAAAGAGAAGATTTATAGCCTAATTTGGTCACGTTCTATCCAGATCGGGTTTATATCAATTTCATACAAAGCAAAGTTCACTTAAAAAGATGGGAAATGGAAATGCTATCCACCCCTTTCAGCTGGCATTGCAACAGAAACTACTGCTGATTTGAAATCGGGCCTATAGGAGATCGTCTTTATCAATTTTCAAATCGGTCTAGATGGCTGATGAAAAGGAGCAAGAAACATCTCTAAGTCCAGTTTCAAAGGCAAAAGGTTACCTTCGTTACGAGAGACGCAATAAGCAACTTTTTTAGAAACAAGGTATTCTAGAACCAGTCTGAAAGACAGACGTCGACGCGCATCATTTTATTCTGAGATTCAAAGTACTGTTTTCTGAAAATAGCTTATTTAATCAGAAGCAAAGCAGAGGGTGTATGACATCTTTCTTCCTCTAATGCGAATATAAAAGACTTATATTTAGTATCCAACTCAAGCTACTATTTAAAAGCAATTAGCCTAGCTACATGAACAAATTTATTTCTTTAAAATGTTTTGTTGGTTGAGGCTCTGCGATAATTTGTCTTCCAATCAGATACCAGCTTTCTTTCCCAAAACATATGAAAGTATGAACAACTGTCGATATACATCGTAAATAGACAGATATTGCTACCGCAAAATAACTGCCTCAGAAACAAAATCCTGCCGATTATCTCTTGCATCTCACAAGAAAATGTAGATTAGTTTCGAGGCTCTTGGTGTATTGATATGACAAGTCCAGAAACATTCGATGGGATAGCTTGTCACTCCTGCATGGCTATTAGTACTTGCAGGGAAGGGATGTTGATTACACTGCTGAGCCTTAAAATTTCTACAAAGTTCCGTCCAGCACTTGGAAGCATCTATATAGCAAGTCCAGCACTTTTGCGTCTATATAGGCCACCAGGCCTTACTAACTTCTAAACTTCCGCCCAAACGGTATTCCGACATTGCATTTACTAAAAATAGTTAAAATCTAAATTTTTATACCGATCTCATAGGAAATATACAGGGTTATCCAAATTAAACTTCCCCAACTCAGAGGCCTGTGCAGAGTGTTGTATGGGTCATAACGTGATGAAATTTTAAAAACAGACACTTCAGATCATGCTCTCGAGATTTATTACACAAAACAAATTAGTACAAGAAATGCCGATAGGTGGCGATGTAACACTAGTAATGTGCATATTGCAGCAACGTGATTTGCGCAACGTATCCAAAAGACGAGCCCTACAAAAATGGAATACAGGCCTTGCACAGGCAGTTGTTTCCAGCTCGTTGATGCACAATGGCGACTTTGAAAGACAAAGCTCTGTTAGTGAAACTTTTCTACCAAAATGACGAGAATTCCTGTGCTGCGATAAGAGCATTCCGTCGGCTGAAGATCTTACGCCAAAGACCAATGAAACCACGCGCTCTACGAGATGTGATGAAGAAGTTCGAAAGAACGGGACAGCTGGGAATTTTACCAGGTAGAGGACGACAGGTTGTGGAATCTGCATGCGTAGAAGACGTTGCTTTGGCGGTCGTGGACCTACTAGCCAATCGCCACATGGTGTTGTCAGTGTGCCAACTGTTTCTCGTGCTGTTGATATGCCCTATGCGACCGTCTGGCGTGTGATGCATCGAATCCTCGGTTATTTTCCTTACAAAATCCATAGTCTTCATCAGCTGTCCGACGGGGATCCTGTAGTTCGGGAAACATTTACGTTGCAGTTCTTTGCCAGAATGGAAGTCGATGCTGCTTGGCCGTGGAACATCTTTTGGACAGATGAGGCCCATTTTCACCTGAATGGTCAAGTGAAATCCCGCGCGCAATCCATCAAGTGCCCTTGAGCCCTCCAAAGGTTACTGTATGGTGCGGTTTTACTGCAACATTCGTCATTGGGCTTTATTTTTTTGAAGAGGTGACTCCAACAGGGTTCAAAACCTGCTCTGTCACAGGAAAACGGTATCAGGACATGTTGACAATGTTTGTGATCCGTGAACTGCAACAACGTGGCCACCTCCAGGACACAATATTTATGCAGGATGGTGCACCTACCCATATTCTTCGTGGCGTTCAACAGGTGTTACGGGCAACTTTTACCGCTGCACGTGTGATCAGCCGCTGTTTTCCTACAGCTTGGCCTCCCCACTCGCCTGATCTCACGCCATGCGACTTTTGGTTATGGGGATTCTTAAAGGATCGGGTCTACCGAGAACACCGAGCAACCTTGGCACATCTAAAAGACACAATTATTCGACATTGTTCGTGGAATTAATGTGGACTTATTGCGTTCCGCTGTGGAACACAGTGCTTTGCGAATGGAAAGAGTTGTGGAGAACCACGACAGACATATAGAACATCTGTAGAATGTCTTGTTGATCTGAAGCACCGCCTATTGGCAACTTCTTGTACTAATTTTTTTGTTTGTTTGTTTGTTTAATAAATCTCGAGCGCATGATCTGAAGTGTCTGTTTTTAAAATTTCATCACATTATGATCCATACAACACTCTGCACAGGCCTCTGAGTTGGGGAAGTTTAATTTGGATAACTCTGTATATCAATAAGAAAACTATTTCCCCCCACCCGATTTCAAAAAAAGAAGATGATGAATTCTTATGGATCAAAGTTATATAAGGAATCATTAATAAAAAAATTTAACTTCGAACTGCACTTTAAATAATGCCTAAAATCATGAAAGTGGGATGAAATAAAAATAAATAAAATATAAAACTTAAAACTGCCCCATTTTAGCTTATCCCTTCTAATTTAAAATTAAGATAACATTATTCTCATAAAAGTATGTTTTATAGAATTCTATGTGTCTCATTTTCCTGTTTCTTTCAAGCCGTATTTTACAGGCGCTGTGTTTTTTTTCATGACGTTCGATACAAAAGGTTCATAAAATTACAAAGTTTGTTGCCACTTTTTATTTTTACTTTAATGTTTGGGAGTGTTGTGTTTTAGAACTACGATGTTTTTTGCATGCATTCTTATATGCCATGATATTTTGCACGAATATATTTTCCCCTGCAGTTGTTTCCGACAGACTCAAAGTCGTGCTCTAAGACTGCTTCATGTTTATACCTATTATCATAAATGAATTACAGAATACAGAGGTATCTTTTTTAAAATAACATTCAGTCTCACGTTACTTGATTCACGTATAAATTTATGTTATGTCCAGTACGAATGTAGAAATTCCTTTTTTTTTTTCAACGATAGTTTGAAATTTTAAATTGTATTTCCCCAAAAAATTATCTAAGTACGCAATGCTGATATGTTAACGTGTCGGAACATTTCTCTGTAATTGAGAGTAGTATGATTTATTTGCTCATATTAATTAGCTTGGCTGAGTCATAATACATTTTTGAAGTAAAATTGATCTTTAAATTTCTCCTTCATAGAACTACGCAGGTTATTTATACATTTTTAGAACGATTTTGATGAGGAATTTTTAAACAAAATGTGTTAGAATAAACACTTTTGGCAACAGCTTTATTATATGAAATGCGAAATATTGTCTGCTACTTTTAAGCTTGTTCTTCCTTCAAAATATGGCATGTAACTAAACAAGTTGTAGGTTAAAAGGGATGTTTGCGCTTTCCGAAGAGAAACATTCCTATTTCATAATTCGAAAACGTTGTGAAATACATGGTATTGAAATTTTGAAGTGCAAAATACTCAACATTATTAATTGGAAATAGGAAAACCATCATGTCATTAATTCTACATGCGAAGATAATTCCAAATGAATACCCAAAAATGTACGCATTGTTTCTAATGTTTCTAAACTTAAATCATTGGTAAAAATAGAAAATCTGCCGACGCATAATTCAATTAAAGAGTCTTTAAATACATCTGTAGCAACAATAAATAAAATCCTAAACCGATATTTGCAAATTAAAGAGCTAAAAATCATAATGTTTACCAGCTTTTTGGGAGGCATGTGGCTCAGCTTAAAACAATTTGTAAAACCCTGCATGGAAATTATTCAGCAGGAGATGAATAGAAATACATTGTAACCCTTGATGAAGCATGGGTTTTCTTAAATGAATGCAATATAAAAATATCTATTTATATCGAAAACGAAGAGAAAACTGTGCATAAACCGAGCCCTTTTAATGCAAAGAATGTTTAAGTAAGGAGTTTATGATTGCCGTAGGTGTTAGAATAAATCTGTGTCATTTTTGCATAATGAAACTCAACAACGTCAAAACCAAACGAGCGCCAAACGATATATTGGCAAGAGAGGCTTCTACCTATGTTTTTAGAAAACATAGAAGTCTTAAAAAGATTTCGTACTTGCATTGTATTTGTGATTCAATCTTTTCAGCATTTTACCTTCTTTTGTGGAATATACTCCTGATAATATTGCCTAATATGTAAGTCTGAAGGCATTTAATATTATAAATGAATCTCTTGTAAGCTCTTTATTTCAACAGTCTGATTTAAATATTTGTAAATACAGTTAACATTGATTTGTATTCTAGCTGAGGTAAGAAAACTCTCTAACTTGTTAAATAAAGATTTCGCAGTTATTCTAACTTATGATTCTTTAATAAAACTGTGCTAAATAGAGGATAGTATACACAAACGCCTTAACTGTGTTAAATGCAAGACATATCAGTATGATTCTCATACAATGGGAAATTCAAAAAAGAAAAGTGAAAATAAAATCTTAAAATCAACACAACGTAGTATCAAGTGAAAGTTTTACGTACGATATTTACAGAAGAAATTCTACTTCTTTATCTCAATTACTTTCAAAAAAATGAAACTTCATCAAGACAATGCAACAAGTTATACTTCCGAAAGTACCACTATGTTTCTTGAAGAAATGAAGACTGGTAGAGGTGCTGCATATATACCTTTTCAATGTGTTCCTGCAAAATCCCCTGACGTTTCATTGTGCCTTTGGTCTCTTGAAAAGCGCTCTTTCTAAGTGCAAATCCAGCACAATTGATTGGATTCTGGAAAGTAGTGGAAGGGAAATGGAAATCAAAACTCTTAGAAATTTTACGGAAAACCGTGGAAATCACGATGCAGACTTATAATCTAGATGGAAGATTTTAAAAAAAGTACTGCTTACATTTTAAATATTAATTAAACCGCCCCGAAATCGTTCTAAAAATGTGTGAATACCCTCTGTATTTTTCTCAAATCTTCAATCTTATTTGCAGTTTAACTTTGTGTCGTTATCTAGAAATTTATTGCCAGATAAGGAGCAATCTTTAAAAGTCTTCTGTTCTACATTTTGCAGAATACATCTGATCATTCATGAATAGAAAGTCTTTCTTTCCATTTCTATCCACGTACCTAAAATTTTTTGTAAAATTTACATCAATGGAAAATTAAATTAAAAATCGAAATATAAAAGGAGAATATGAAGGTTATGACATTGTATAACCATGCATTGCATATATGAATTATTTCAATTGGACCTAAATTACGCACAGTTACATATTTCTCAAAAAGAAATTTCCATCTCAAGAAATTTTATTTATGATAAATCTCTTATATATTTCAGGGTGGGCCCTAATGAAGTGATGGGCATTTGTGCCATAGGTAGCAGTTGCATCGGTTTGGGCCGTGACCACTGGATCGAGATGTTAGACAACCCCCGTAAGCCTGTTGCCCAATGGTATCCTCTTCAAGAATCCTTGTCCGGTCTAGCCGTGGATACTGTGACCTCCAAGTCGTCCTCCATCAAATGCATCAGCATGAGATGACTGTGAAGGACATCACATTCCATACTGAAGAGATTCTTCACGTATATGTCATCATCTCCGAAAAGCCTTTGGTAGGGCATTTGTTGTGCCTCTTGACAACACTGGATTGGTTTCACCCTCTCCCTTATCCTTAAGCAAAGATGGTTGGAAAGAAACAAGACCGTCGCTAAACTCACCGAAGTTGTTATGCTTGTCGCCACACTTTACACAACTCTTAACAACTATCCTGGAGTTTTTTCCCTGCTTGGGAAATTAAAGGACATAACGTGGCACAACCCCATTTCCTTTCTACCTCCTAACCTCTTCGCGATAAACCATAGAATATTCTCAAGTGTGTGTACCAAACAAGGTTGAAATTTTTATTGCTGTATTTACAATTAACTGAATTCTTGTGTAAAAATTATTTTTTGTTCTTTCTCTAGATATCTGTTCTAATGAATTACTTAATTAATAAGCACTGGTCATAAGATTTCTTTTAAATATAACAAAACGTTTTGCTATGTTTTTTCGTCACATTCGCAAGTTGTGGATAAACATGAAATCGCATAAGACGTACTGAAATTAAACTCTGATTTAATATTAAGTAAAACAAATTATGTATGTATCAGTATATTAATATTCTTCATTTGAAAAATAATTTAAGGAGTTTAGCAATCCTAAATTTTATTATGCATTAAAATAATTCAAGGAGTTTAGCAATCCTAAATTTTATTATGTAAGAGAGGTTCGCATGCCATATTTATTCCTAAATGCTTTATAAGTATCTAAGCCGAATCTATTTGGCAGGATAGAATGCGTCATAAGTGGCTATTCGAATATTGCATATTCCAAAAAAGGTTGATATCGACGTAACTACGAGTAGAAGGTATGATATGTGAATGCTAGGTTTCATTGAGAAATTTCTAAAATATTACAACTTAAGAAAAATTATATCTTCTATATAGAACATTCTGTTCGAATATATCTAATGTCAGTCGCCATACTTAATTTAGTAGTATAAAGTAAAAATGAAACGATGTATTATGTCTGAAAGGAAATATGTTTTCAGAAGTTACAACATTTATAGGGCCTTGAAGGAGTTTCATAGATGATATTTAAAACCTAGACGTTTTTCTGCCAAGTATATTGCAACAACTCTTCATTCAATATATTTATGGTTCGGATGACGAACTGAATGAAGTTCTCGAGCATTATTTTGTATATATTTTATTTATATGCAGTGGACGCCGCTTAATACCATTACGATTGATGTTATCATTCGGATACTACTGTTGATTAACCAAAGTTCTGCCGTTTTATATACAAAAAGAATGAAAAATGCATCGCTCATTTTTATCAAAAATCCGGTTAACATGATCGAAATGTTAAAAAAATGAAATTTTTAAACTGAACTACAGTCGCCAAATAAAAGGTAAATTATCCAAATAAGTTCAAATGATTGTCAAGCGACAAAGAAATGTCAGTAAAGGAATAAGTCGCCAAACAGTTTGGTTTCAATTTCAGTGAACCATTTAAAATTAGGCAAAAAACAATAACTTTTGTTCGACATAGATTTTCTGTAATTCTATCCGTTTTGAGAGCAATCGGACACAGGTTCCCCTTCTTCAACAGCAAAATCATTCAGCAGAATTTTTTCCCTGAAAAAAATTTAACATACTGATAACGAGGAATGACCTCTGAGTATTAATCAGAAGAAACATTTTCAAAAATGTTACGAACAGTTTTGAGTGTTATCAAAATAGTCTTAGAAAACGGGATCACATTAACCGGCGAGTACACTTGCATTTAGAATATCTAAAATTATACAAAAGCGTTGGGATCCCATCTTTATTTCCTTCAACGAAGCACATTTGTAACTTTTTCAAATGTAAAAATAACATTATTATATTTCAAAATCAAATATCTTATAAAAACCTTAGTATGACAACTTGTGATATCATTGTAGAAATATGACTTATAATTTAAACTGAAATCTCCTTGAGTTATGTTTCAAATGTAACACACATGTTTCAAACGTGTGCATGGCTGATTTTATGTTTCATTAAGATTTCGAAACTGAATTAGTAAATAAAGAGCAACCATTATTTAATTTTACAGTAAACAATAAACCTGTTATACTACTTTAGCACTTTTTATGATTATTTTAAAAGGATTTTTTATCATCTTTGTTACTGAAAAATGTTTTCAAAGATTATGCAATACTAGCGTTATAAATTACCTGAATTTATAATCAGTCAGTTTATTTCAAAGTAACACTGACTATAAAATATGGCGATACAGTACAATAATATAAATACAAATTGTAATAATATTATAACCTATAAATTTCAAGTTTAATCGGTATACGCGATAGTAATATAAGGTTATATAAAGTGAATGGCGATTGAAGTATAAAATTAGAATTTCCTAACACTGATTTTTTAAAAAAGGAGCATGTTTCCTTTCATATCTCAGAATAGTGTTCGGGTTGCTGCATTTTTAATGACCTTTTCTTCTTAGTTTATTTTGTATTAATCTATTTATCAAAATTCTCTGTTTTTGATTACAAAACTCTCATAGCAAGTACTAACCGAAACCAAATATTAATTATCTTTAAGGTCTGGAAATGTATTTTTCAAGTTTACCAAAAATCTTTAACTAAATTTAAAACTTAGTAATTAAGTCACTTTTAAGTAATTTTTATTACCAGTGCGTAATCGTTTTACCTTATGTTTTTCATTTTTTCTTACGTAATAACTTATGTTGTTAATATTATTTTGTTATTTAATGCTATGTTTAATAAAATGCGAATTGGTAGTTACGAGCTGTAATTGTTTAAATGAACGTAACTGTTTTGCTATTGTTTATAAAACTGTAATACTTCCAAAACATTACTCAATGCCGCTTTCAAATCATTTCATTAATTTCACTTCAACATCATTATGCATTTTGTTTTTCAATTTTATTATCCTACGAAGTAGATTTGTGAAAATTAACGATTTAAAATTAATTACTTTGCTTCGAAGGCCATTTTATTGCAGAATTTATATCTGAGTGGGCATCTTAAGTTGACATTAACAATTTTAAACAAACGGTACTTGATGTTTGCATTTGACGCAAATTGCCAAATCTAGCTTTGGTATCTTTGGATCTAATCTTTGGTAAAAAATGAATTTATAAATAAATAAATTTTAAATTGTTATGTAATAAATAAACCCAGGTGTAAAATGTTTTAATCCATTCACAGAAATTCTGTTTTGAAATGAAATTTTTTTATGTTTATGAATTAAATTTTCTTTCAATAATTGTTTCGAGTTAGTAATTAATGTACAAAATTATAAATGTTTTTTTAACCTTAAATTGATGAAATAAAGAAACAAAATTGGAGATGAAATTCTGTTTTGAAATACAAAACTCTGATGTTTATGAATTTAATTTTCTTTCCATCATTATTTTGAGTTGTTAATAAATACACAAAATTATGCAATGGTTTTGGCCTTTCGTGAAATAAACAGAGCAACTGTGGGTGAAATTCTGTTCTGAAATAATGGAAACTTATGATATTTGTGAATTAAATTTTCTTTTGATAATTGTTTCCAGCTGACATGTTAATTAATATATAAAACTATAATTTTTAATGATAAAACTACTGTAAATGATACAGAAATTTTAAGAGCAGTTATAAATTTTTAACAGCGAATTGTGAATATGCCCGAAAATCTTTTTGCCTTTAAGATTATACAGAAGAAAAGAATATATCTTTCTTCAAATATTCCGTAACTTAAAATATATCGTGCTTTTAGAAAATATTAATAAATCAACTACTTCACTGTAAATTCTGTTGAAGAATTCATGAAACTTTTTAATTCATTACGGATGAAGTTTAATTATTTAGACTCCTCACCACTTGTTTCTGATACAGTAGAATTCCAATTATCCGGTGTCAACGTAACTGCAACTCCTAGTTATCTGGATCGCTTATTCTTCTCTTGAAGCACAAATAAAATTAGTAGTTTTTTACCATTAAAAGTATGAATTTATTAAAACTTGCATGCACAGAAATATAATAACGAGCATTCCATTGTTAATCTTATTTTTTACGCCAATAAAATACCATTCCTTCATTTAATTTTGAGTAAAAATAAGTTATGCGGATTTTGTTTTAACCAAATAAAATTCATTTATGAGTTTAATACTAGTGGAGTTATATTAAAAATAACTTTATGTGTTTTAGTTTTAGGATAAACGCAAATGAATTTCGAAGTTGAAATAGAAACTGGTTGTGTGTTTCTGCAAATAAAAACTTTATTGCAGCGTTTAATTTCTCAAAAACAATTTTCGCTTTTAATTTTGTTGTATAAAGATTTGTTATTGTATTAAGTCTACGATAGCCTCAAATGCAAGAATTTGGATTTTCCGAGATCAAATTATGATTCAAGGAAAATCTTGCATATAAGAAACAATCTCACATATATAAGTGTAATATATTGAAAGTACTTTACAAGCAAGATAGGTTAAGATCTAAATATCTTCTTCTGAGGTGAAACTAGACAAATATATAGGGTGTCCACAAATTTCCTGGATTACATTAACAGCTTGTTGTTTAGGAATAAAATAATTTTATACCATTGGCATTAGTCACACTTTCACAAGTAAAGTTCGAAGTTTTCTGACAAGGTTCTAGTACGGTGGCGCGCAATCCTGCTGAAACATAACCTTTGGCTGACGGTTCTCCAAGTATGTGCAAATGTAATGAATCAATGTAAAGAAGCAAACTCCGGCTATTATTCTATATTCATGGAAGAAAAATAATCCTAAAATCTTGTCATGTAGAATCCAACATCAAGCATTTGTTTTCAGGCTGTCCTTCTGCAGCTCCCCTGCAACATGAGGACTTTCAGGTCACCAAAAGCTCACATTATCTATATATTAAACCAAATCGAATTGTTAGGAAAACCTTTCATATACGTATATAATAACATCATAAACGTTTCCATCACTACATCTTACAGGGTGGCCGTAATGATAAAGTTATTCAGGGACTTTGTAGACACCCTGTATTTTAAGGAAAAATAAACAATATGTAATAAATATATTAGTGTAGTCAACTTCTGATTTGCAAGCGACATATTAATAGGGTTCTCTCTGTCTTAAATTAAAATAAAGATTGTTTATTGCAAAACGATAAAAAAATTTTTGTTCTTACAAGTCATAAGAAACTTTCTACCGTAAACAGAGAAAGTTAAAGAAAACTAATACTTGGGGGTAATAGCAGTGATAACAGATGATATCATAGTTATTTGTAACCTAAATTCTTCATTTCTAATTGCATTTCTGTCTTCAGTATTTAAGTGAGTTTTTTAGTTCTGATTAATGATTTAGTTTGCATAAACAAAGGAATTTATAAAGCTTAAAGTAGATTGAAACACACGTAAGTTTTTAATAATAAATTTTTGTTAATTACAATAGGATTTTCTTTATGCTGTTTGTGCATAAAAATTACTGCGGTAAATCAGGAGTTGACTTTATATTTTAATACCGAACTGTGCATAAAAATTACCGCGGTAAGTCAGGACTTAACTATAATTTCAATGCTGTATTGTGCATAAAATTTACCGTGGCAAATCAAGAGTTGATTATATATTTTAATGCATAATTGTGCATACAAATTGCCTCGAAAATTCGGACTTGGCTATGTATTTCAATGCGTGATTATGCTTTAGATTACCGCGGTAAATTAGAAGTGGGTTATTTATTTTAATGCTTGATTTTGCATAAAAATTGCTGCGTAAATCAGGAGTTGTCTGCTTATTTCAACACAGGACTGTGCATGAAAATTACCGCCGTAAGTCCAGAATTAACTACATATTTTGATTCGGGACTGTGCATAAAAATCACCAATGTAAATCAGGATTGCTCTATATTTTAATGCCAGATTTCGCATAGAAATTACCGCGAGAAGTTAGGAATTGACTAGAAATTTTAATGCTGGATTGCGCATAAAAATTACAATGGTCATTTAGTAGTTGACTATATATTTAAATCCTGGATTGTGAATGAAATTTATTGCGGTAAATCAGGAGTTGCCTGTATATTGTAACACTGGAGTGTACATAAAGTCACAGGTATGTTCTTCGGAAAGTAATTTTCAGGGTCCAATACGGTATATACCATTTAATCTTTGTTGAAATAAAATGCAAAAAACTAAAATTGATTACAGCATATTCACATTTTGCGTACAGAAAATAAAACTACCCATTTATCCCAATGTTTCGAATGTCTGTATGGATTATGGTCTAGTATATTTCGAATATTTGAAGTTTTGTCGAATGAGACGTTTGGGCGAAAACATACTTTTCTTTTTGTATATGTACTCTTACAAATATATGATATTTATTTATGCTTAACCGTGAAAATTTTTATTAGATCTTCTTTTATTTTTTATCTATTTCCTCCTATTAAAAGTCGGGAAAAACCATCTACTGATCTTTTGCAAGATTCCAAATCTAGTCATGGGTACACCTGTTCGGAATGTCCGACAATAAAAACAACACATGTGTCTCGTCATGTCATCGCACAAAATACCTTTCAATGTCATCCAAAATCTGACGCACCATTCCTTATGTCGATGTTGTGAAGTGAAGTTTAAAATACCATTCGCTGTGTTGAGCGAAGAAGCACAGTTGGCCTTTTATTTTTACTAGTACTCTGTAGTAGCAGGGGCTAAAGATGCAATCTGTAAGGTACCAGTCCAAGGCAGATCACATGTTAAAAATTTTTACTTCAATAGTGTTATAACATACGCATTATGTTAGCCCCAAAGACATTTCAATTATGGTGTTGTAAGGATTCCGATATTTTTACGAGTTGTTTGACGCTCGAGCTTACGTTATTTTCATTTCCATTAAAAACTTGTGTGAATAACGCACCAGAAAATGTATAAGTAGAGCTAAGTAATTTACTGCGTGTTATAAATCTTACTGAAAGATATCGTACATATTTGATTACATTTTACTCGATTATTATCAAAAAATGAATACACTCAGTTGCGAACTCTTGCACTAAGAATAATTGGTTTGTTTGGGAATACATTTATATCTGAGCAGCTCTTTTCATGGTGGAAAATTAATGAGAAAAGAACCAGACTGATCGATCAGCAACTGCAGTCTATTATGAAGATAATTTCTTGTACTTTCTCTCCGAGGGTACGAACATTATCAAGTTTCAAGTTGTAATAAAAACTAAAGAAGTTTATTATTATTTATATTTAAAAATACGTATTTCTATTAATGGGTAGAAGAAAACTTTAATAAATAAAGACAATAGGCTGTTATTATTTTTTCTCCAGTTTTGTCCCACTCGGTAAATTTTCTTTGAAAATTTAGAAAGTTTTTATAATTTGTTTACCTTTAGTTTAAATTAAAGTAAGTTAATGATTAATTATATGTTAAAATTATTTGAAAGAAATGTCAGTCTAAGAATTTAACATTTTAACTGTCAGTATATTTAAATTGCAAAATGTAACCAATAAAAGTGTCTTACAGGTACCAAACTTTAGATTGCAGATAGAAAATATTTTTGGGATATTATTAATTATTATTGTTAATGTATGTTTTGATAAATATTTAGTATGTTAAATTGAAAATATATTAACTATTTTTATTTCGTTAATTTTTTTTTTTTTTTTTTTTTTTTTTTTAATGAAAGAAAAATTCTGGCTAGTGTTATCTTCTTTCAGATTGTGCATTCGGCCTGCCTGTTATTTGAGTTTGAGACCAATAGTTATATAACATGTTCAAAATTTTCAATAACTGATCATTTTCGATACATTCTTAATAATTTTAAGCAGTTGTGAGGTAAGAAGTAAAAGCGAAGATAATTCCCATTTCTCTCTATTTCAAACTTAAATGCTCTAAATCAGGGTTTCTTAAACTGTGCCACAAACTTTTTTATAAATATTATGGGGTTCTGGAAGTTACGAAAAAGTCTCAGTTATAAAAAGGGGTCGCGATGAAAAAAGTTCAAGAAACCCTGCTCTAAATAAATAAACTAAATTAGTCAGTCTACGCATGCATATTTCAAGCGAACTATAGAATGTTCCCAACTTGGAAAACCCGATTCGAATTAATAGTTTTGTCATGTGAAAAAATTGAAATCCATGCTAATCTGATTACAAGACTCTCTGTCTATGGATCTTTTTTTTTTTTTTTTTTTTTTTTTTTTTTTTTTTTTTTTTTTTTTTTTTTTTTTTTTTTTTTTTTTTTTTTTTTTTTTTTTTTTTTTTTTTTTTTTTTTTTTTTTTTTTTTTTTTTTTTTTTTTTTTTTTTTTTTTTTTTTTTTGTTTTTTTTTTTTTTTTTTTTTTTTTTTTTTTTTTTTTTTTTTGTTTTTTTGTTTTAAAAAATAATAATAATTTTCTCTTGAAAAACAAATGATATCTGTGCAAATCTGATTACAGGAATTTCTGTCTCTGATTAAAATAATAATAG